TAAAGTACAGGGTGTTTCATTCAAAATAAGGAAGTTACTAAAAATCCGGAATAACTGAAAAAGTGGCAACAGAGGCTATAACATTTTCAAATCCGCCACGTTTTGAAATCACACTGTACATAAATTCAAAAAAATCTAACAACAGATTGCCGAGATATTCACCTGTTTCCATACATATCAGCGACCCTGTATAATTCGCTGAACATTTTGGTTAGATCGGTAGCCAACCCCCACGTACTTTTGTCTTCAGGGTGTATGTAGAATATGCGTTTATCATATGTTCGGCATTGATTTTATATAGTTTTTAAATAAAATGGATGCATAAAAAATATATGCGTAATAAATTGATAATAATTCGATATTGAATTTCGTTTCCTTAAAATCAACGATATTATTCGCTATCGTATGGCGATAGTTTTTTCATGATAATTATTATAGTATGAGAAATGTCATTTGGTAACCCCCGAAAAAATGAATGGTTCATGCCGTCGTATAGAAAATTTGTTATAACAACGAAATGATTTTCTTCAACATTTACATAAAACAAGTCCAATCATTTTATTCGGGGGTTACATAATATCATACTATAAATAATTATAAAAAACTATCGCCGAACGGTAACAAATGATATTGTTCGAAAATTGGATTTTAAGACTACGAAGGTTTATATCCAATTAATTTATTCGGCATGTATTTTTAATAGTTCCCTTCAATTCAATAAATAATTTTTACTACCATGGCAACAGAAATTCTTAAACACATTACCATGGCAACAGAGTTTTGAACACACCTTCAGTCGTTCGAGTCCTGTCCGGTCTACCAATTGTAGAAACTGTCAATCGTCATTTTAGAAATTTGTTGCAATCAGAATTATTCAAACAATTTCTGTTTGTATCAGAATTCTTCATTAAGAATGTTTTAGGTAGGTACTTGCATATTTCAAAGAACTGTAGGTAAAATCGTTGAATGTAAACAAATGAGACACAAAAAGACGTTGTGGGCTCCCGGTCTATCAATTTCGATGAAACAGCCAACCACTAGCAAAAATGTACATTATAAATAATACACCAAACATAAACAACGTGAAAATGGCTGACGGGCTATCGATAATGAGATTAAAAAGAAGCCAGCTCTGTATGGACATACGTTCTAATAAGTCCAAGACATGCAGTGCTGACGTTGATACATACTGCGCAGATGCTTGAACCAATTTCAATGCTCGCTTGTTGGTCTTGAAAGTTATTCCTGTATTGTTCTTTCATTCGTTGTTTATAAGTCAGTGGTTGTCACAGAATAAAACAAAAAAATAAAACACGAAAGAACAAAAACAACTAAAAATGCTAAAAAACAACATAACAACTACAGTAAAAGCAACTTAAAACAGGACATGCATCATGCTTGAAATCAAAGGAACACCGTCACCTTAAAACTGAAATGAAAATAAGATATATTAATGATATATTATTTTTAATAATAAACTCTCGATAATAATAACAGGATTAATCAGAAATACATATTCATATAAATTTTCATTTTCAAAAAATGGTTCTAAACCATTACCCAATCGCAAAAACCTGTTCCATAGCCAAAATATTCTCACCGGACCAGTCTCACAACGAACAATACAGTTAAAGACTGTAATAATGGGGGATAACACCTTAAAATTTATAAAACTATATATATAATTACCCAACCGCCAAGAAATTTCGAAGTTGAACTTACAATTAAAAATTTTAAATATCAAACACTTAAAACTACAGTTATGTTAAACACCAACAAATCCAAAAGTTTCATAAAAGTTTTGTTATGGCTAAAATATTAATTATAGTTTGAGAAATTGAGACAATAAAATTTAACGTTTAGGGGGAATCTAAGAGTCCCGATTAGTATGTCCGAATATTTTTATCATTCGTAAATATATAACCATTTACTTGTTCCAATAAATTTTAAAAATGCTCGCTCATTGAATATATAAAAAAAATCAACGATAGGCTTTCGTAACTGTTAGAAAAAGAGAAAGCATTCCTAACGAAATGTTCAGAATAATTTCCGCACCACCAATGATTTTTACGTAGCTAAAACTTAAAATTAAATAAATTAATTGAGCACAATCGATAAAGTTAAGGATTATTCTCGATGTTATAAACATTGATGGGCAAGTGTCAAAGAGAAGTCACTAATGCGGTATCAAATAGAATGTGTTTAAAGAAAAAATCTCATAGACGAGAGCGAATCCTAAACTACTAGTTGGCCATGAATAAGACTTGTTCTAACCTCAAAATAATTCCATTGGTATTTTTCTTGGGTAGTTTTGCATTGACAACAAAAAAAAATACTATCCGAGGCAAAAATGCAGATCAAAGGAAAGGAGTACAAGACTTTCTTTGTAATTATTCATGATTATGGCATTTAAAAAATCGGAATACAAAAACACCAATAGAATCAGAGTAGACACTTGAAGTTGAGGATGATTTTTGATGTTATGGCCAAATACCAGAAAGAAGTCACTATTGCGATTTCGAACAGAATTAGTTCCCTTTCATGATACGGAGTACAAGATTTTTTTCGCCTTTTATTGATTTTGAAAACAAAACATTATCTCACACATGAGAAACTATCCTCATCTTGTTTCTTGTTTCAACTTGAAATAAGAAAATACTAGTTGTCTTGGCATTACACCAATTTTAACCTCAAAATGGAATAATTTCACTGGTATTCTTCTAGGTGAACTGCGAATTTCTGATGAGAATTTCATTATATGAGGATTCAACTTTCAAGGTGAAGACAGACATTATTGCTGGGTACTAAAAAAATCGAAATTTGGAAATATCTGGAACAAAGAATGTTATAAGCTCTGATAGTCAAATGCCAAAATGAAGTCACTAATGTGGTTTCATTTTCTTCCATGATAGGGAGTACGATCATTTTTTCACCATATTACTTTTATAAAAACCCAAATAATATATTCCATTATGGAAGCTATGTCCTTGCTTTAACCTGAAATAATAGAATACTAGTTGGCCATGCATAACAACAAAATCAACTCAACTTTCATTTGCCAACAAATTTCATCATTCAAGGATGCAACTCTTGTTTTCATTGTCATTTTCCATGATTGTACGTAGTGAAATACACAACTCAACTTAAATATTTCTTTCTGAATATGACCGCCCAATGCCAGGGAAATTATTCTGAACATTTTTTTCTCGAAATGCCTTAAAGTCACAAAAAAACTCTTCGGTTTATGTGTATAAACCGTCAGAGATGAGCCTTATGCACTTACTTAAACCTAACCTAATTCTAATAAATAACCAGTTGAAATAACAAGTTTAACAGTAACAACGACATCTATCTATATACGCTCTAATTTAGCGTAAAATCTCGGAAAACGGACTGCTGCAAATTTTATTGAAAACGCTTCATCGAACGGCAATTCACATTCTCTTTAAGAAGTACAAAATTAATAATAGTCATTTTTAGAATTATATGTGAGTATTCACAATGTTGGCCAGATAGTGATAATTTTGATAAAGAATGCCTAGAACGATACACAATGACATTTCATTCAGGTTGAGAAATAAAGAGCATAGTCAGTGGGCTGAGAAACACATATTTGGAATCTTTACGATGGCATATATAATGATTACCTACTTGAGAAAAACTGTCTGTGACTGGGAGACTTAAAAGCTTGATTTTACGTTTGTCATTTGTCAAATGTCACCCACCCGTCAAATAACCAAGCTTCACTGATGAATATTATATAGTTATACCATTATTGAGAATGAATAAATAATCTGGTAGATCGCAAAAAAAATAGAACGAACAGCGTCAATTGAAACACCTTCCTGTCCGGCATTTGAAGTTTATTCATCACATCAAATTACTTGAAAACGTTTACACCTTCTTCACAGCAAGCTTTAAATCATAGAGATTCAGTTGAGCTCAATTTCCACGAACTTTTTGAGAATAGTAATTTTCTCAAGTAACAATAACAAAACTTGTACAGTTTAACCGAGTTACATTTTAGCATAACTCATGTAGGTATTTTTTCTGAAAGCGAGGGTATTGAATATTTCGGAAAGTATGAATAGTATTCAGCAATAACAACCTCATCCCAAGAATGAAGTCTAGTTGGAGGTCAAAGATGTTTTAATTCTGGGTTTGTTCTTTCTAATGATTCTGTTTCCTTCGGTTTTCATGATTTCGTTGGTGACAACAAAACTTTGTTTTGCATCTGAAATGTGATTAGTGTCCGATGAATTCATTTTCATCTTTCATTTGATGTTCCTGAATGCAGTGGATGAATGTTCTACCGGTTTGCCCAACATAAAACACGAGGGTGGATGCCTACCAGAGGTATATGTTGGTCAAATAGATAGACAATGAATCACTGGTTTCATCAACCTAAAATCAGTTACATGATACATGAAACAAATCCCATATACACTTATTGACAGACTAGACCTCAAGGATTCGCAATTGCTGAGTTTGTTTCTAGAAATATTTCCATAATGATCTACATTGGATATTCTCATTTCATGTCTCATAAATAAATGTTGAAATATGAGAAATTCAAAAAACATGATATTAATCTGAGTTGCACTCCTTATGAATTTTCAAACTTGGAGAAGAATGAGCTGGAAAGATTTTATCTCTCCAACGTAACGGGAATTGTAGTAATATTTCCTTTAATCTTTTATCCAGCAATGATCATTTCAATATCAATATTTGAGTCACTTCAAATGACAGATAAACAACAGGTTTTTCTTATTGACACAGCTCGTTCTAAACTCCTTGACCTACCAAAATTTCCCCATCAACAGTTATTCCTCAGGTGACAAACTCGTACAATTAACTGAGTTACATTTCAGCATAACTTATATAGGTATTTTCCGGAATCTAGGGTGTTATTTACCAGTATCCCTCAATTCGGAAATTCTAAACAGTAGGTATTTAACAATAACATCATCCATCATAAAGTAATATTTGAGTAACTTCAAATGACAGATAAACAACAGGTTTTTGTGATTGACACAGCTCGTTCTAAACTCCTCGACCTACCAAAATTTCCCCGTCAACAGTTAATCTTCATAGTGCCATTCGATCAAACAGTTCCAATAAACTCCCGCGCAACAGCATCAAACCTTCAACCGCGGAGACAAAAAAAACAACAACAACAACAAAGTGAGCGCTAATACTTGCTTATGCTCAATTGGCGATCGCCGATACGGCAGAGCTCGAAGAAGAAGAAGCCGAGGAGGAGGCGGAGGACGAGACCACCCCCACCCCTGGAGAAGTGGGCATGACGGCGACCGTGCCCAAGCCGACCACCTGGCTGTTCTTCGAGTTGCGCATGAGCGGTTTGTGGAGGCGGTACTCGCCGGCGTGCTGCCACTGCCAGCAGGTGCGACAGAAGTAGCGGAAACAGTTCATGTCGCGGCAGAAGTAGGGGCCTTGCTGCACCTGACATATCGAGCAGAGGGAGTCCTCCAGGTAGGGGTCGACTTGCACCTGGAATTTTCCAGTTGTTATCCATAATAATTCGCGGTCGCCAAGGTCATTAGATGACGTTGCAATTCATTTATTTATTGAACAAATATCTTTCAGACAGAATAGGCTCTGGTATAAGGAAGTAAATAATTATACAGGGTGTCCCGAAATAAGCCTGCCAAACTCCACCAGCGGCTTCTGAGACAAGAAATAGGAAGAAAAGTTCCAATGAATATGAGTCGAGAAATGTCCCCTAAGGAAGCTACGAGCCCCCTGAGAGGGGGCGCCTGAAGATGATATTTCTTGAATATTTTCGAAACGCCGAGTGATAAAATGACGCAATTTGGTACAAGAACTAAACATACTACGCCCAATAAGGTGAACATGAATTCATTCAGGAGTGTATAATACAGGGTGGGATTACATTAAATATTGCTCAAATTTTTCTTATGCATATTTTTTGACAATTCAATCTCGGATTACGAAAATCCACACCGTTTCACAAAAAAAGGGCTCTTGTCGATCAGATGTATCATTTTCGAGTGAAATCGATTTAAAAATATTGATGCACAACGTTGCCCATTTTCGAATCATAGTGGCTCTAAAAAAAATCAAGTACTTTCTTTTTGCCAAACAATATCATAAAAGCGCGAAAAATAGGAAAAGATGATGAAAAAACTACTTCAATTTTTGTGCATTTTTTTCCATTTCCACTACGCCTCATTGCAATGTTATGCGTAATACCTGAGATGTAACAACATTTTTAAAATGCTTTCACTCGATAATAATACACCTGATCGTCACGGAACAAAAGTACCTTTTTGCTGTGGTGTGGAATTTCATAATCCGCGATTAAATTGTCGGAAAATATGCATAAACAAGAAATTTTGAGCAATATTTAATGTAGTCCCACCCTGTATTATACCGTCCTGATTGAAATTTCGAAATGATTTTATTAACACTGCATTGGGCATGGAAAGTTTAGTTCTTGCACCAAATTGCATTTTTTTATCACATGGAGTTTCGGAAATACTCAAGAAATACCATCTTCAGGAGCCCCTTTTCAGGGGGCCGTAGCTAACTAGACATTTCTCGACTCATGTTCATAGAAAGTTTTCTTTTTATTTTTGATCGTAAAAGTCGCCGATGAAGTTTTGCAGGCTAATTTCGGGACACCCTGTATACCTATAGCTGAACATATTCAAAATATATCAACAACTGTAGATTTGCAAACAAGTATCAAGTCAAACACAGTGTAGAATGGAGATGAATAAATAATATTGCTATTGTTATTGTTGATATGCTCGATAACCTAACCTTTTCCACGTCTTGTTCTTATACCTGGCACTGGCGCGGTATTTGCCATTAGAGCATCTGGTCCATACACAAATATGTCACTCTGTGGTTGTATTTATATTGAAACTACCATTCGAACATCCTTGAAACTTGAATAATCCTGCTGTTAATGCAGGTAGAATATTCTTACCCCTAGGATTTGGCATGGCAATTGGTGGTTACTTCACATATTTATTTGAGTTGATTGTTTCGGTTGCAGAAAAAATAGCATGTTTCATTCGGATCAAAAGTGACTTTGTTTGACTCGCAAAATTTGCTTTCGCTCGGCTTCGCTAAACGCTCCGCCTCGCAAATGCAAAATTCGATTGTCAACTAAAGTGTCACTTTTGATCCTAATGAAACAATCTACTATTAAATGACATGACGGGCACTGACAGTTCATGAACGTACATGACGTTGAATTATTTGAAAATTCAGTTTTTTAGAAATTAAAATGGCCAACTGTGTAGTTGAAAACTGCATGATGAACAACAGCTTTAGAAATGGAAACAAAATATGAAGCCGCCATTATGGAAATTGAGTTCAGTTCAGAGTAAGTACTCAATATTTTAATTTTTCGATTGAATATGATGCATATTCGAAGGAATAATATCATTACTAATTTCAATTTCAACATAATAGGTGCACTTCAAATGTGAAGATTTGATAGAGGAACATACTATTAAATTGAAAGAAAATGCATAGCCTCCATTCTATCATCAGAAAGATTCCCGAAGACATTCTTTATCGAATTCTGAAAAATTTGTACAAGAAAAAAAGCAATTATCGAAGATTTAGAGAGAAAATATGCAAACATTCAGAATGTACTAATAGAGAATGATGAGGAATACAGAAAAAAATCAGAGAAAAGGATGAATGCTTGAAAAATACCATGAAACAAAAATACACTGAAACGAGACTGCAAGTAACAAGAATCCACGGCTATTATAAGGAACTAATTTCAAATCTTGAACTATCTCATCAAAAATCTTTGGAAGACTGAGAAAACTGCGAATGCAAAAATGCAGGCAATTTTGAATCGAATCAAGACCCAAATTGATAGTTTCGGTATATATTTCAACCGCGTCTTTAAATACTGAAGTGGACTATAATTTTAGTCAATTTCAGTATTCAAAGACGCGAATCCATGAAATCCATAACAAATTAAAAGGTATTCTAAGTAAAGTTGCTACTTATGAGCAACATATTTCTCATAATTCTAAATATAATGGTAATAGATGGGATGCAGAGAGTGTCGAAAGAAGAAAAATAAAACGAGATAATTATGTTGATGAAACTAAGGCAAGAAAAAGGAAGTAAGTGTTCAAATGCGATAATTTATTGAGATGTAATGCTGAGAATTGCATCACTGCTGCTATCATTCAGTTGAAAGGAGACTAAATTTTGTTGTAATGCTCTTATAATCAAGCAAAAACTGTAGGTACCTACCATTATTTGAAATTTCATATTTTGAACATAGGATCCTATTCTTGAACTATAACTATAATCATTATACTTGTATTTATCGAATTTTTTGATCGATATTTCAAGAGAGCATATATAATTTTGTTAATTGGTTGAATTATTCTTCCCATTCATTTACATTTCGCTCAGCAGAAATGGCTACTAAATCCTGACTCTTCTATTGAAAAACTAGTGCATCCTAAAATCAAATAAATTGACTCGACATATATCCTTTGTTAAGTATATCGAGAAATACTATCAAAAAATTAAGTTACAAACTATGACCACTTTTGGCCAGTGAGATAAGAAGCCACTTCTTTAGTGCATGGAGAAGCATATCCATGTCTTTGTTCAATCAAACCTTCGAAATCATTATGAGAATTTGGGGTTATGCCTTTTGTCACTGCTTGTCATAGTGTCCGTACTCTTATTACAGCCAGCAAAACTGCCAAAGACATACAGGGACTCTACTGGAAGAGATTGAAAGTAAGATAAGTTTTCCTGTAGTTTTCAATATCATCGGAACGTCATGATGGTGGCCGCGAGTATTAAATAAATACTCAAAACTCGAAGTCATTTCCACAAATGTTCATGAATGAACGAAACTGGGTAGATAAAGAAAGGGTAACAACTACTTTCTTGCCTGATATTTTTCCCCAATGAACAGATATTATTATACCTCCCGTCCAGGTTTTCATCTAGAACGACAATGTTCTGAATAATGCATTTTTTCTGCAATCGACTCAAAAGTCGTCCATTTCTGTTTCAAAATTCGCTCTTGAAGTTGACGTTTTTCTTACTGACACGATAAAATGATAAGTATGTATGTTGCTATGCAACACTTTTGAGTATCTAGCAGCTAAAGTTGAAGTTTAACTCCTAGGAACTAAAAGTGTATCGGATGACAGCTGATATGATAGCTGCTTTGACACTGACATGCTCAAGTGAGTCAATATCGTGGTAAATTCACTTATATTTTATTGATTAGCTATCAATTATTTCGATCGCGGTCGCTACGCCTCGCAAACGCAAATATCGCTTGTTAAACAAAGTGTCACATTAGATCCTAATAAAACAATGTACTATTCTTTATTGTGATTGAACCTATTCATGTTTTTAATCCCCAAGTCAAAACATAGTATACTTGACATCATTCGATTCTGATTGTTTTTCCAAAATTCACATTCCGCCCGATTCAGGAGTCTATAAAGGGATGAAAAGAAGATGATACCTTCGACGCCCACTGTATAAATAATCGTTAGAAACAATCAGGATTATTCCACCTTATGACCAAAACTTACTTTTTTGGTGAATTTCGCCGTTTTGATTTCGATGAAGGCCGCAGCTACCGCTTTCGTATAGGAAATCTGATTGTTGAAGGTGACTCGCCCAGAACCGATGGGATACTTGTATTTATCAGTATCTATGCCTGAAAAAAAATTGAGAATGAGAGTTCCTTCGGTAGCTGTCTCGCTCCTACACATTTCAGAATCCTACCTCAATTAATAGGGAAGATACAGGAGTGCTTCTTATGAGAAGTGAGACAAACGTGAATTTTTCCAATAATCATGGCGGATTCTTATTTTGTCATCCGCACTTCAATTTTCACACTGAATATTTGCTAATTATCTTGAAATTTTCCAACATATTGATATGATATGCCTGGTCTAATGACTTTGATTTTCCAATATTACTATTTAACCCTACAGTAGTCGCATCTGAATTTCGACATAGACAGGTCGCGCGCGGACTCACAGTCCGCACCTCTGGAGTTGTTTCAGAGTCAACCTATCTAGCACAAATAATAGTGGATGCAGGATTCGTGTAATTCTAATTTATTTTTTAAATAAACTAAACAAGTTTATTTACTTAAAGAATACAAAAAATATCGGATATTATGTAATAATATACCAATTCCAGAAGTCAGATATAAAAACTGATACTTCAATTTGCACTCTTGGCACATGAATAAATAATTGAATATTGACTCTTGGAGTACTATACTAAGAAACAAAATTTGGGAAAATACTTAAATCTGCTCAGAATACACACCAAAAAATTACCTAAAAAGACAGCAAATGGCCTTTTCGGGTAGCTCGGTCCCAAACTGGATGGTATTAGGTGGGGCGTGCCACTGCGCGTCAAAAAAATGTGATAATTAGACAAAAACATTCAAATGTGGAGCAAGAGTCTGCGCGCGACTACTGCAGTGTATAATTGAAATTAACCATGTCTCATGCTGCAAACTTCATTCTCGTAGGAAATCACTATCATTCCGTGCTCGTAAAACAATATACTATTCCTGATATGCGCCCTATAAGACAGTTGAAGTTTGCAAAATATCGAAATCCTGACTCAACTATTAACTGAGCTATAGGAAACGGGAGGTGAGATGCAGGACCCTGTGATGATACCCTCCGAAAGGCATACTTATAGCGAATTACATTGGTAAAACTGGCTCACACAGATTTTGTATTCCATTGGTAAAAGTGGTGTCGGGTTTTGAATTCCATTGGAAAACTGGTTCACATAGTATAGAGCTCAGTGCAACAATTCCAGTGCAGTTTTGAAAATGGCGGAAACATTGAATATGAATAGTTTGAAAGACAAATTGTTAGTGGCAATTTGATTATCAAGATCAAAAAGTGATGAATAGTTGGATGTTTCAAGAAAATAAAGGAGATTATTTCCCAGAATTCATAATTTTGTTGAAAGAATTTTGCAAATTCAATGATGAAGAGGTACTTATCAAAAAAAGTACTCAAAATTATTTCCATGAAACATTTACTTTATTCTTAATTGGAGTTGAGAAATAATTTCAAGATGCGGACAATTTATAAACAAAGACAAACCAACTTATCCCATTCAACCTCCAACAATAATTTTATTATAATATTATTTCGTATTCCATTGGGGAAGCACCACTTCACATTTTGGAGAGAACTAACATAGTGCGGGTGCAAAACCAGTGCACCACCAGGTTTACGAATGGAATTCGCTATCTAGTGAAATCACATTCGAAAATCTGTCACTACCTGCCGGTCTATGATTTCTGCCGAAAATTGTTGATTTATTAAGTCCACTCACCCGCATAGACTACACCATCGAAAAGGTCGTTCATGATTTTGGCGAGACCTTCAGCGTTCAGCATGCCGTGCAAAGCGCCTACGAACACCGTTTTGCTAGGATCCAATTTTTGGGAGGTGGATTTCGTGTAGTTCGAATCGTTTATCACCCACGGGATGACTTGAACCTACATAATATTGTTGTTATTAGGGAAATGATTGATAGAAAAATTAATTTCCTGATGCTATAAAATTTATAGTATTTTGATTGTTTATTTTACGAATGGTATGCATGAATCTAGTGAGAAAATAGGTATAAGTTCGAGGATAATTTCACTGTAAGCAATCAAATATCCAAACAAACCCGAACTGAAACGAAAGCAACATCAGGAATCATTGGGCGAGAACCATTAAAAACCAAATAATTCCCATTATCTATACAGGGTGTCCTGAAATTAGCCTGCCAAACTTCACTGGCGGCTTTTACGATCAAAAATAAAAAGAAATTTTTTTATGAACATGAGTCGAGAATGACGAAATTTCAATCAGTACGGTATAATACAGGGTGGGACTACATTAAATATTGCTCAAAATTTCTTGTATGCATATTTTCCGACAATTTAATCCCGGATTATGAAATTTCACACCTCTTTACAGCAAAAAGGTACTCATGTTCCGTGACGGTCAGATGTATTATTATCGAGTGAAAGCATTTTAAAAATGTTGTTACATCTCAGATATTACGCATAACATTGCAATGAGGCGTAGTGGAAATGGAAAAAAATTCACAAAAATTTAAGTAGTTTTTTCATCATCATTTTCCCATTTTTCGCGCTTTTATGATATTGTTTGGCAAAAAGAAAGTACTCGATTTTTTTTATAGCCACTAATATTTGAAAATGGGCAACGTTGTGCATGAGATGTGAGTGCATCAATATGTTTACATCGATTTCACTCGAAAATGATACATCTGATCAATGCGAAACAAGATTTTTGTGAAACGGTGTGGATTTTTATAATCCGAGATTGAATTTTCAAAAAATATGCATAAGAAGAAGTTTGAGCAATATTTAATGTAGTCCCACCCTGTATTATACACTCCTGAATGAAACTTTGGAATGATCTCATGTTCACCTCATTGGGCAAGGAAAGTTGAGTTATTGAACCAAATTGCATCATTTTATTACTCGGCGTTTCGAAAATATTCAAGAAATATCTTCAAGGGGCCGTAGCTCCCTTAGGGGACATTTCTCGACTCATATTCATTGGAACTTTTCTTCCTATTTCTTGTCTCAGAAGCCGCTGGTGAAGTTTGGCAGGCTAATTTCGGGACACCCTGTATAGTAAGTGCATTTATTTCCAATATACACAGAACAGGTGTACATTTAGCCATTAGCATAAGGAAAGATTAGTGTCATTTAACAAAATTATTTGATGATGAAAAAAAAAAGTCTAAGCTCTATATATTTGAACATGATATCATTACTTAAAACTACTTAAAACTAAAGGATGGACATTCTTTTTATGACTGCGGGAGCGGTATTGCGAGAAATTCATTTAAATCATAACATACAGTGTGTGTCCCACTTACCATGCTCACCATGGGTATCTTTTTAACGGTGAGAGATACGAGGTCGGTTAAATGACACCAACTGTGGAGTTTGTCAAGGCCAACTATAATGTGAAAAAATATTTTGATAAAATCTATTCGTTTTTGTTTTATACGCAAAAAACAGATTTTGATCATTTTCATGTCTCCTCCGTAACTTCTTTATTTATGAAAATATTCAAATAGGAATTCCACATTCAAATGGCAGTTTCTCAAAGTGATTTCGAAAAAAATATGAAATTAATACCAACTCTTCTAGAATTTGAGATATCAGCACCAACTTTAGTTTTTCAAATGTAGGTCATCTTACTATGACTTGGTTACAAATAACTTTTTTTCCTCTTACAGATGATATGTCGCAGTGATAGTTTTGTGTTGATAACAACAGAGTTATCGTCATTTATATAAAATCAAAAAATTATTTGGAAGCCGCCATCTTGAATTTATAAATTTTAACAAAAAAATCATGATCTCCGACCTCAAAAACCCCCGCGTACCAATTTTGAATGGAATCGGACCAAATCTTGTCCGCCATCTTGGAGCAGCCATTTTTTTTAATTTCAACAAAAATTCCATAACTCCGATAAACTTTAAATTTGGCAGGTGTTCATAATTTCGGTGATAATACATCATGGAATTTTTGTTGAAATTAAAAGAAAATGGCTCCTCCAAGATGGCGGACAAGATTTGGTCCGATTCCATTCAAAATTGGTAAGCAGGGGTTTTTGAGGTCGGAGATCATGCTTTTTTTGTTAAAAAATTCAAGATGGCGGCTTCCAAATAATTTTTTGTTTTTGTATAAATGACGATAACTCCGTTGTTTTCAACACAAAACTATAACTGCGACATATCATCTGTAAGAGAAAAAAAAGTTATTTGTAACTAAGTCATAGTGAGCTATGACCTATATTTGAAAAACTAAAGTTGGTGCTGATATCTCAAATTCTAGAAGAGTTGGTATAAATTTCATATCTTTTTCGAAATCACTTTGAAAAACTGCCACGAGATTGTGAAATTCCTATTTGAATATTTTCATAAATAAAGAAGTTACGGAGCAAACATGAAAATGATCAAAATCTGTTTTTTGCGTATAAAACAAAAACGAATAAATTTCATCAAAATATTTTTCCACATTATAGTTGGCCTTGACAAACTCCACATTTGGTGTCATTTAACCGACCTCGTATCTCTCACCGTTAAAAAGATACCCATGGTGAGCATGGTAAGTGGGACACACTGTATATGGTGGTGCAATAAATCCTTCAGTGAATGTTTGAATTTTCTCATTGAAAGTTCCTTCATGTAAGGGGGCAAATGGTTATAAATTTTTATTCTCGTGTACAGGGGTCCATACGACTTTTTTCATACCTGTAGTTGGGCAATTTTATTTTATGGGTTCTTGTCATGTACTGATGACGATGATGTGAATGTTGAAGAACATCACGTTTTTTTATGGATCAAAAGGGCAAGTTTGAATATGAATGTGTTTGTCAAAGTAAATATCTCATTTTCAAGGAAACACTCTCTACAAGATTCTCGATAGTTCAATTTGAACAAAGTACGGATGGCTCGTTTTTGAATAATAAACGTGAATTAACTGAAACAGCGCATATATACTAGACTATGAATGAATAAATGAGCAGATGAACAGATAACGATGAAAATATAATTTCAATAAAAACGCAACTATCCATAAGGTTTGGTGTAAACTGGTTTCAAGTAACAATGTGGGCGCGTTGCCATTTTTCATTTACTAATGTTCTGGAAATGTAATGTGTGATTTTACATCGTTTCTCATAGTCAATTTGACTCAACTAGCGATTGACAAACCGATCTCCAATTAAATTATAAGTTTGCCTATTTGAAACCACCTTCATTCAACTCCCAGAGTTACTAGTAAGTCAATTTTGTTCGCTTCCTTTGTAGAAATGATAATACTGCCAAATCGACAATTCAACAGGATTATGACATGATCAAATATACTAATAACAACATGTGTCAGAAAGTCTGTGATGATTATAAAAATCGAGTTATTTTGAGGTACATATATCAAATCAAAGTGAAGAATAAGAATAGACGAGTCTACTAATTTTTTTTATGTCTTAAATAGAATCATTCCTCAAATACATTTCCATTTCATATATTTTAAGAATTTTTCATTCGATTTTTAGGTGCCAAAGTTAGCAATAATGCCACGGTGATTTTCAAACGGCTAGAAATTTACCGCCAGTAAAAACTGACGCCACGATTTCATAAGTAGGAACAGACCATAGAACAGTTGCAATGTGTTGAAATACGATTGGGAACTTCAGAAATAATAGTTATTCAATAATTCATAAATTCTCAATTGAGTATTGGTAACATTCCTAATTAGCAATAAAAAATAAATTGTCCCAAAATGTTCCCTTATGATTTGTTGCTTATTGCTTATAATGAATTTGTGTAAATGATAATTATATTAATAATTCATACTAGAGGCCATTTGAATCGGTGAACGTGACAACCCCGCGCACGACTTGTGGGCGTGGTCTTGTCAGTTCTCAGCATTCAGCACAATGCTGCCAAGTCTCCATTTACATGATATTTTGTTATGGAGAATAAAAAATATTTGAACATGCTGGTTGCTCGAAAAAGTCAAGAATGAACTATAATGTTATGAGTTCCTCCTATCATGGTTTATTCAACGACAGGACTGAAACATCTTTTTGATATCTTGATTATAATTGGTGACTTGACAACCTTGCTTCATATGTGGAAATGGCAGATCATTTGACCAATAACAAGACGGCATAAAACCTAACATCACCATTTATTAGACGTATCGCCATGACGTTACGTTTGAAATGAGCTCTGAAATTCAACGATTTTGAACAACGCATAGACTTATTGATTACATAAAAAAGGGTAAGAAGCGTTGCAAAAATTAATCCAGGTTCCTAACAACACAGTGGAGTAATTGGATGCAAATAATTCATTATCAGTCCACTCGCCCATTATTTTAGGACACTTTTAATCGTATTTCTTTGTTTCAATGAATTGTGAAGTGACTAATTCAGTTTTATCGGTCTAAATCAAGACAATTTTGTGTATAAATATGGTTCGAGTGTCGAACCTATAAACAAATATAACTAATTAAAAATATCTTAACATGACATATCACACTTTTGATAGGAATTGACATTAAACAATTTCACTAAGACTCCAGTAAAAAGTAGTTAACCATTTTGATGAGATCCTTATTGAGTATATGCCTTTATTGAATGTATCGATGGCAGGCGTTTGGGAATGTCGGTATATACGTTGACGTGCTTTATGATTTTTATGTGGTCTTGAATTCAACTTACCTCCTTTGCCTTCATACGCTTTGAGCTGATCTTGTAGTACCAGTTGCTGCTGATGGAGTAATCGTTGTGGCACGACGCCTGCGTCAAGGCTTTCGTCGTCTTGTCGTTCCAGCACCTGCGACGTCGCCAATAAAAACATTTTGGATCACCAGATCAGTTATGCAAATATGGGTCCGTTTCAGTGAAAAATTTCATTTCATCATTTCGAAGTACTAACCCTGACTAGTCCACTGTCGCAAACCGTTTTTTTTTCAGAGCTCTGTACATTGTTTAAATATTTATTGATATTCACGATATTTCGTAACATGAAAAATGCGGGAAAACGCGTGACATGATCATCCGGAAAAATTCGACATACGTATCTATTCTGCTTGTCCGTAAAACGAGTGCAAGAATAATTCTGATTGTCATTTCAATCAAAATATGACAAAAGTTCGCCACCTCAGAAGGTGCTCGCCCTACACTCTAGTGAATTTTCTGGACTGAATACTCACTGCAGATAACAGAGAACACAACACACAATTGAGGAATCAGACAATATGAGGAATACTGCGAATATTCGCACCTTGACTGATGATGTTCAAGGATTTGAAGATGAAGGTGAGGTTAGGAAGTTAGGTTGATAATGTAGTTCGCCTTCTTCTCCCCTTCTTGTATTTTTGGGAACTCTAGGCATCACGCTATTGCCAGTGCCACAAAATAATTCGGGTTCAAATAAAATCTCGATCATTATTAGGAATTGCAAGTATGTAGATAACATTAGTGATTATTAGGGTCGAACTTTTGTCTTTTGAGAATGTTAATACTGTTGTCATTGGTCATATTGAATCTCATAAGGAAAGTACAAATCTGGCAGGGTCGAAATATGTGGTCCTTCTTTTTATGCGAAAGCTAGAATTCAGATAACGATGATTTTCGGTTCGGTTCATGAGTGGGTTGTTCCATTTCAAAGTGTTAATAATAATAATGCTTTAACACAATGATCTTCATGTTACAAATAATGTCACACTGATGATCATCAACTGTCAGAATTAATTTTTTTTTGCACAGCCTACTTTACCGTAGCTTATGAATAAATAGTGGAGAATACAATGAGTGAAAAGGAATATTCTAAGATATATTTTTGTGTTCATAAATATATCTGAGAATATTCCTTTTCAATACTTCCACCCAATCAAGGGGTTCAAACTTGAACGATGGAAACTTGTTATTTTTATAGACCTCAATCGCAGATTCGTGATTAGGTTTTCTCAATTCAGAATTTCTTTCCACGTCCTGTGTCCTGTATGATGAATATCAATTCATCATACATCCAAAAAAAACAACAAAATAAAACATTGATAAAAATGCCTGGTAATGGAGTTGAATATTTCAAAACATAAATCCCATTCTTTCCAAATATCGAAACAGAGTGTTGTTTTTAAAATGAAAGAAGTTTTTCTCTAGGACTGACCTGGAATCTGATCACGAATTTTATTTAGTTTTGATGTGTAATATAAGTGGAATACTTCTAGCATATATAGTTTATACAAAGTGGTAAAAAATTATGACCAGATGAATATATCGCCAAAATCTAGATAATGTCCTGTATCTCAGTTATAAAAGACGGTAGACACTTCAATGGGGGGGTGATTTGAAACCGTCGAAGGGTCCTCTATTTGCAAGTATCGTATGCACATTCAAGTCTGAAAGATCCTGTATGTAATAAAAACATTTACAAATTACAATACATATGACATTAAAGAACATTTACAAACTTCTGTAAAAGGCACATTCTTCAATGGAATAACAACCGTTTTTCATGAGGAAGTAATTCACCTTTGATTCAAAAATGCAGTAGCTACCCGAGTTTCTTAGATTCTCTGGTAATGAATTGAAAAGTGTTATGCAGTTGAAAATGGGAGATTTTATGAAAGGATGTAGGTTAAACATTTTAAGATATAAATGCAAGTGTCAGAATAATTTTTTTTCTCCCGGAAAGTCTGCCTAATACTTTCTCGGAATTCCATATCAAACATAAGGCGGATAATTATTTTTTTTCTACAAACGTCAAAAAATGACAAGGTTCGCGCATTGATAACAAACTGCGAAGTGACACATTTTTCAGTTTCCTACGTTACCATGATACCTTGCACATAACAATGCGCGAAGTAAAACAGTGCGCGAAGTACCTATTTCGCGCATTGTTATGTAAAATATATGAGATATTTATATTCAACTTCATGATCCTCAATCGAGCAAACATCCACGAAATCATTTATTTCTGAATAATCAACAATAACTTTGTTTTATCTCTTGGAGCGCACGAAAGGAAATGCCTATTATGTTCGTGGAACATCGTGCGTACCTAGGGAGGATAGGGGAGGCCTTTCAAGCCAGTTCAACACTATTTTTTATATCAAGCTGAGCATATTTTTACTTCAGAACTATATTTTTCACGTTTGTAGAAAAAATTTTGTTTGCAACGCGAGTGCGAAATACTTTGGTCATCTCGACTATTTTTATAACTCGGCTACGCCTCGTTAAAAGAATCAGATCTCGATCACCAAAGTAGCATTTCGCGCTCTAGATACAAAAATAACTATATTTGAGCAATAAATAACGGGTCTTCAATAATGATTGAAAACCACGTGACAGATTACTATGCAACCAAGAATACATTCGTTATTCTTTAACGTGGGCGGAAAAGAGATGCCTTATCAAAAATGGTCACGTGGCACTCAATCATTGTTGAAGACCTGGTACTATTCGCAATTAAAAGTTACAATATCTGAATTACAATTAAATGAGGTGCAGTATATACAGAGTGGATCTAAATAACACGGATTCCTTGTGATATTTTAGAAAATAAGTTTCATATAAACATGTGTCCTCTGTGGGTGCCTGGACACCAGGGGGTGGAGGGTAACGAGAAAGCCGACATCCTCGCCAAACAGGGAACCGAATCTGTGTTCATAGGACCAGAACCATATTTTGGGGTCACCGCAAGTGCGGCGAAAACAACTATCTCGGGCTGGGCGGAGGGAAAAACACTCACGTACTGGTCCGAATTACCAGGATTAACCCATTCGAAGGCGTTCCTGCCTAAACCATCGGAAAAAATAACCAGGCAGATCCTAGAATGGAGCAGGGGTAACCTGCGAATTCTGACTGGACTGCTTACGGGACACTGTCGTCTAAGATACCACCTGGGAAGGATGGGTCTGAACCAACAAACGGACTGTCGGTTCTGTTGTGTGGAAGACGAAACGGCTGAACACATATTATGCTCATGCTCTAGCTTAGAAAGACTAAGGTTCGACACATTTGGCTTTACCAACCTAGAACCTATCGATTTCAGACAAATCTCACCCAATTCAACCATGAACTTTGTAAAAAGATGTGGATTGTACGGTGAACTGTAACCTCTAGGGGTGAGCCACAATAGACCCATCTGGGGTCGCAGTGGAGGGGAGGTGTTCGCCCCACTCACATGGAACCTAACCTAAACATGTGTCCTAACTTGCTTCGTTTTCGAGATACAGGGTATTGTATTAATGTTTCCATGAAAAATCTATTTTCTATTCATTCCTCAATTGTCTTTTCATCAATTTTAATAAGAAGTCGTGGTTTTGCTAATAGTAATATGGAGCTTCTTTTAGTGCAATTAGATTCGAAATAATATTTCCAGTGGCGTCACAGTGGGTAAATTTATGGATATTCATGGTGAATGTCATTGTACTTCACCGGTTCCTCTGAGTTTCATATGTTTATCAGATTGAACTATTGAAATAACATTTTTATCCTCGGTGTAATTTTTGTATCTAGCTTAGTTTTTGAGGAAACAATAAAAATTCGATTTGACTCAAAATTTTAATGTAGGTGTTTTCAAGACTTCCATTGAGATTAATAATGATAATAATAACAATAATAATATAAGTTTATTCAAAAACGTTTACAAAATATAGATTGGAACATTTATTTTGAATAAATTGGGAAAAACCTTACGAAGTGAACCTTGTAGTAAGGATAAAAAACATATGTACATAGGTCAATGAATATTCAACAATATTGAATTATCACAAGGGAAAAATTGTCTCAATAAGAAATGAGACATGTATTTAATAATTCATATATAGTGTACTGAGCATTTAATTCAATTCGCTTAATTATTTATATTTATATACTTACTCAAGATTATTATTTAGATTTTGCTAATTATATTATTGAATGTTAATGAAAGAGATAAAATCATTTTTAGGGGAGTCTAATATCCTTTATATAAAAGTTCAGTTGGAAACAAATAATCTTTTCCATAAATAATTTGTAAAATCCATTTTTGTACAATTTCCAATTTCCTCAAATATATCTGCTTCACTCCCTCCCATCCCAATAACCCATAAACTAATTGAGATTGAACTAAAGCATAATATATCATTTCTAAATTTCGAATATTCAATGAGTTTTTGAAATGTTTGAATTTAGTAATGAGGAATCTTATTTTCTCAGTGATATAATCAATATGATGATCAGATGATCCCACTTCAGATTATTGTCCATCATTATACCAAGATATTTGATACAGTCAGTTTCTGTTTCAATTTCTCTATTCATCTTGATAGTGCCTAAATTTGGTTGAGAATTTTTATAGGAAGTAAATGTCATATATTTTGTTTTTTCAAAATTAATTGTTAATAAATTCTGATGAAACAATTCTTTAATGATAGGGAAATCATTGATTGCTTCGTTTTTCGATTCACACCAATCCTTTGCAGTCATCTGCGAAAGAATGTATAGTACCAGTTGAATTTAGAATCATTTTGAAATTTTGAGGCTTTCTCAGACTCTATCCATACCGAATTTTGGCACCATGAAAGCTTATACAGGGGGGTTATAAATTAAAACAATTAATACTTCCAATCCTTCAACATCCTGTATCAGGTAAGGACACATGTTTATATGAACTTATCTGCTAGAATGTTACAAGTAAACACCCCTTGAATTTTCGGTGTTATTTAGATATACATATATCAAGATCACCAAATTTTATGATAATATTGAAAAAAAATTCTCAACGAAACGAGGAAACAATCACCACACTGACCTGCGATTAGCGTACTCGCCGACACAGGGCTCCTCCATCAAAGCCTTGTTAGCGTTCTTGTCGTTCCAGCTTCTGCGATGGCCGTAATCTCCGGCAGGGCAATGCTCCTCGATCGCAAGCTTGTTAGCGTTCCTGTCGGCCTTCTCCGTCCAGGTGATACCTGCGAGAGCGATTTCGAATTTTAAGAAAAACGCTTGTACAACGGGATTTTGGGCAATTTTCAAGTTGCCGTAACAATTAATAGTGTAGTAGATATGCGATAAAAAATGGTCTCAGGTGGAAATAATTCCCACAAATTTTTTTTTGCTTTTCTCAGTTCAGAATGCATAGAATAACACATATGAGAAAATATAGAATGATACCTTTGTGCAAAATAAAAATACAGTATTTCCAATATTCGTTTATTGTTTGATACGTATAAATCATATGAACCTAATAAAAATGGCATATTTGGGGCATGTAACAGAAGTTCATTCATTATCTTCAACTTCCCCGATTGGAATATTGGTACCTTCCCGAACAATTATTGCACAATACTGTGCAAAAATTCCGTATCGTCGACATTAACATCTGGTTCCACAATGTTCATCTACTTCAGATTTGCAAAAACTTCTGTACGTCATCATATGATACAGAAAACCCAAGTTTATGATCTCGATGATTCTGCACACCAACACCTAAACGAATTGAACTTATGATAGATCGTGGCCTTGCAGCTTGCATCAGTGCCTGTTCAATTGAATTTTTCTCAAACTTGAGGATTTTTTGTTAATTATTATATCCAAGAACGTTTTCAAAATGTCGGGTGAAAGCTTATTATTTTCTTACTCAGAACTTATTTCTTCTGGTGAAGGATAAAACTCTAAGGATGTTCTCATCAACTTGAATAAATTCTTGATCAGCTTAGCTGTTGCTTCAACTATCCGAAATTTTTCAGCATCTGGATCTTCTGAACACTTTTGTCGCTGATAATCACAAATTATATTGGCAACTGTTTTTCCTGTTACGATCATATTAGCTCTACCTTTTTGTCTCAATATCATAATGTCATCCGAGAAATATTCTTCTAATTTTTTATGCATACGACGAACAGTGTAAGGTTCGATATTTTCTGGCAGCAGCTCTGCCATTTTGGCCAGCAACTCCTGAACTGAAATTGGTTCATCATTTTCCTTGAGCCACCTGCATATTTCTAAAAAGGCATCTTCTTTATTTTTATCAGAGGGACGTTCTGCTAACTTTGTCTGTTCATTGGGAATATCATGTTCTTAGGAATAGAGTCGCCTTTTCCAAAATTTACACTACATTTCTGATTATACAGAGCATCTGCTGCTGGCAAGTATCGATAACGGAGAGAGGACGTGCAAAGACATTTGATGATCAAAAATCGTTTCTTGCATCACACAAGTCAATAATAGTTTGTCGAAACGCGAAAGTTCGTACTGGTAAAATTGCAGATTTGATTATTTTCTCAGTTTCCTGGATGAATTGGCCACAAAACAAGCAATTATTTTTGAATGCGAGTTTCGGCAGCTCAGATCACAATGCTCTGTTGCTGCTGCTGCTACTAGTTGATGCTTCTCTATCAGGATCTGAATTGAACCTGAGATCATTCTTCATCTTGTTCGGAGTTACGTACAAACGACGACATTCGACGTGAACAATTAGAGGATGAATAGGCACTGGTTCCAAGGGTTCAATTATTTTGTCTTGCTGCTACTTGCTAGCACTTATGATTCCTTGGACACCTTTAGCAGTCAATTCAACACAATTCGAACTATCATGAGATACTTGACGAAAATAATAAACATTTGTTATCTTCTATCGCTGCTTTTAATTCACTATATTTAGGTATACCTGGAATAATACATCAAATAATGGAACCTTTCATTCACGATCACAGAGAATAGTTTCAATCACATACCAAAATGATTGTTTCACACCTCGACGCGAATTTTGAGATCTGCTAATCATATTATCATTTTTAGGAAGATTATGGAATTTATTTGAATCTTATCCTGAAGATTCTAACATAGGTAGCGGAACATGTGTTGAGTTGTGAAACAATCATTTCGGTTTGGGCACCTGAAATATGAAAAGTTGCAATGAAACATTTTTGCATGGAAGAATGCATCTATATTTTTAATATAGTGTGAGGGGTCGAATAGAAAATGAAAACTGCGTTTTTGTGGAAATTATTTCCACCTCAAAACTGCTCTACTATAATATGGTGAATACATGGCACGACTCAACTTATAGACCAAGAGCCAGGAGTAAAATTTGGCGACTCATAAGTTACTAAAAGAATGACATTCCAGGTGCGTTATTCATTCCGCATTGAAATGGAAACAGTGCGTCTGCCGGCCAAGAGTGCCGAAATCGACCTAGAAGCGTCTCATTATCACCAGAACCTAAGCGTCTGCCGGTGGATGCGATCGTATTTTCAAAGCAGACGGCATTCAAAACGAGTCAAAAAACGGCCGTTCAGTTTCTCATAAGTTGATACCACCTGATTTTTTTTTGCAGGAAATCAGTTCATTATACACTCGATTGAAATACTTATATGAACCAAGCATGGGCAGAGGTATACGCCATTGAAATGTGTGCAAGGAAGCTGAAAAATCCGACACCACACACGAAAAATAATAAAGATATTTTCAGATAGTCGAGCAGCACTGAAAGCACAAGGGAACAAAACAGCGGTCGTCCTAGCGAAAGGGGGGGGCCAAAACATCGTTCACTGGGCCAGAACCGGTAATCGGTATATCATATTGTAACGTTTTCAACTTTCTATGGAAAATTGAAAAGTCACTGCACCGTTAGCGTTGTTGTCTAGAGAGCATGGAGGTCGGGGTTAACAATTCATTATGTGATTTATTTAATTTCATAAGTTTCCAAAGAAAAAAAATGGAGAGGGAAACTTACCCAGGCGCCACTTGACTTGAAGTACTTGGGATATTTGGCCTTGTCCAAGTCAAGAAAACAAGATCCATTTAATTTTGATAAGTTCTTTACAATACAAAAAAAAATTATATATACTTATTTAAATTTTCATATGTCAAACCAATGTTAACCAACTCAGGAAGAGGGGGAATGTATAGAAATTATATTCACCCAGTTATTTACATATATTTACAAAAAAACAATCAATTAACAAGTATCTGACCTGAAGCCTTGTTGAACCGACAAGATCACCCTGTATATGACGGACTGAAATTTAGCTGAATAATATGTGGTGATATTCACACATTCATCCTACCTTCTCACCATGGTAACTCACCTGAGTAAATCATAATTGATAAGTTAAAGAATACTGTCAACAATCATAAGTAATGTTGTGTATGAAATATTATTCTCACAATAAAGTTGAAGATGATGATCATGGCATTCGCACAGTACTGAGCGAAGGCTGTACAGCTTTGAGAGTAAATTCACATTTTACAGTCTAGGAGTTAAAGTTGATAATATGGTTCCAGGTGAGGCAAATGTGAAAGCTAAGTTATGTAAAAGAAAATGACAACAAAATATCATTAAAAAGGTTATATCTGGCCTTGTTATTGGTGATCCATTCCCATTCCAGAATTCATCAGTCCAGACAGCTCCACAGGTTCAGTTCAGCAAGAATGAAAAATAACTTCAATCCTGGGTACAAAATTAACAGGTCTCTTCCATGAGTTAACTTCTCATTGAGAAGCCGTAGGGCATTACTACCACCCGGGATGGAAATACTGTCAACAGCTAGGGGTTGATAATACTGCCCTTATAGTTTCCCAGCAAAAAAACTACATCTACAAGTAACCAGGACACTGACTGCTGTTTAAAAATAGCTTGGACGTAGTCCCACCTAAAACCCCCTTACAGAGGGTTTCATACAAAAATGGACAGGAAAACATCATATTGTTCCCCATATGATGTGAAATTATGAAATTTGGGTTCACCAAGATTCACAAAAAAAAAGCCGGCACGTGTTTGAAGTTTCTGGATGCCTGGAGCACTGGAAGTTTCACACTCGGTTTATGATCACATCGTATAATGGCTGGAGACAAGTCCACAAATCAGGAGAAACTGTTCATGGGAAAAACAGGCACTAATCCCGAAAATATCGGTTCGAAGCCTTGTGTAATTTCACCACAAGCTCCTGGAAGCCTATAGAAGCCAATCGAACTCCATCGAAATCAATCGAAGCTTTCCCCCTTCACCCCGAAACCTGTCAGGAAGCTGTTTACAGACATCCCTGTCAACGCGATGGTCGTGCCATCTATGAATCAGATTCTTTCCACTCATTTTCCTAGGATTTGGAAAGACTCCGGAAAATAACAACTAGTGCTGGTGAAAAACGAAACGGGAGATGCTTTCTGAATCCTGGAATACAGGTGATACTAACAACAGAGACTGGACACAGAAAAATACTGATTTTATCCCACTGAATTTGGTAAGTACCACAGCTGATTGTTGATATTTTCTAATTGTTTATTTTAGGTACTTTATAACAGACCAGGCTGACAGTTTGAAATCTCCAATCAGGAATAAATGGAAATTGACAGATCGACCAAGTTATTCACCTCAAACATACTAATTTGGAAGAAAATTGAGAATTTCATTTCCTAACCTGTAATTGAGACTATGATGATACTTTCTCAAATTCACACTACATTTGTTGCAAAACATGTTCAGGTAAATTATATGATTATTCTTTGTATTCTTGAAGTTTAATAAACAATTGAAAAGATAATTTTGTCTAATTCCTTGATTTTTGCTCTGAGTTCGACTAGCGCCATCTCTGAGCGAATTGCGAAACTAAGAGTTAGGTCTAGCTGTAATATAAAGTACTAATCTGCACTACCAAATGTATCGATTCCTGCTTTCTATGAGTGTAGATGTGTTCCAAAGTTGAAAGTAGTGTACGTTAGAGCAGGGCACTGGGTGCTCTGAGCATTTGCGAATGTTGAAATATAGCACTGCCAAGAATGTTACAACATCCTGGGCCGACAACAGAGGACTTGAGAATTGGGGTAGTCTACCGGGCCTAGCCCATTCCAAAGCATTCATTGCTTGTACGAGGAACAAACAGGACTCTGGCAAACTACTAGAACTCTAAGTTCCGAGTTA